GTGGGATGGGAGAAAATTACAACTTGCTTACTCCATATTCTCCTACATCAAGTGTGGTATCACGCCAAATTGAAGGAAAATCTTGGACTTTCAGGTGTCTATTAAGTAAGTATTAACTCACATCATCACCTTCCGGCTAAAGTATTAATAGCGCCATGCGATGTTTCGACGGTGGCAAGGGGGAGGGGGCTTTGGCCTCGTTCATTGAACCTATTTTTTACTTTTGGAGGGCAGATATAAAATATTATCAGGGAGGGACGTACACAAAATAATGTAAATTTACCGTCACGTATTTTAATGGACCTCCCCCCCGCCTCCTTCACGGAGAAAAAAAACTCGTGCGTGGGATCCGAAGTTTAGGTCATATGGATCTCTGAAGTTTTCAGATTGAGCATCTGAACACTTTAGGTCTAGCTGCTGAAGTTCGGATCATACATCTGAAACTTCAGTTCTTACATCTGAAGTACTTCGGTTCTCACATNGATGCTCAGTCTGAAAACTTCAGAGATCCATATGACCTAAACTTCGGGTCCCACGCACGAGTTTTTTTTTCTCCGTGTTAAAGAAATCCTAGCCACGCCACTGCCGCCGCCATTTTATTTTTTACAGAGGAATTGTCCAACGAAGCTGTCCGAAAATTTCTCTGAATTTTCTTTGAGCTACCGATAAAACTCAGTGGAATTTTCGAACAGATTCAACCAACAATTTCTCTGTAAAAAATAAAATGGCGGCGGAAATTTTGGAATGCCGCGTGGCGCTTGTAATACTTTGACCGGAAGGTGAAGTTTGGATCGTGTTAAGCAGAAAGGAACCAAGCCGCAGCACCCGCATCAGCTATTGCCTTTGATACGGCAATTTTATTTTTTACATGAAAACGGTTTCGCGGATTTTTGTGCCTATTTCAGTGAATTTATAACAGCATAAGAAATACGAAGCAAATCCCTTGAAAATTTCAAAAGAATCCGCACAGACGTTCTCTTGCCCACTTATAATTGGACTGAGTTAAGCAGAAAGGAACCAACCCACATTTTGGAAAAAATTGAGTTATGAGTGATTTTGAACTCAACCACTGCTCTACTATCTATCGCCAAAAATTCAAAGATTTTGTTGGAGCAAATTTTGCAGAAATTGAACTTGAAGTTTATCTTTTACATTGAGTCTTATGCAGGAGCCAAACTTTAAACCTCTTTTTCTCGGTTCGATCTCGATGTGGCTTGGTTCCTTTCTGTTTAACTCCGTCCAATTGGACGTATTTCTATCAAACGGAACTATGTGCATCAAGACATGAGCCCTGAGACCCATAAGCATACATGCATAACAGGGCTCACCTCATAATGCACATAGAAATACGTCCAAAACGCAGAAATACGTCCAGAATTAAAATCACTGGATTAAACATTATAAAAACAACTAGGAAAGTCAATAACTTCAATCAGTAAATAATTTAAGATAAAATACTAATCTTGGAAATTAGAAATAATAACATTTTTACTGATACCTACTTTAAACCTAGAAAAGATTTCATTGAATTACAAAATCAATATTTTTTATAAACTACTAAAATTATGAAAATAGAAGAAATGGTTTCACCCATTTTATTAATAGTATACGTTTGATAGAAATACGTCCAATTTGGCAATAGCTGATGTGGCTTAGTTCCTTTCTGCTGAACACGGTCCGTTTATGAATGTTGTACTGCACCATATGCTTGCATCGTTGTAGCCATAGCGCACAATCTGAGCTCCAGACGAGTAGGATCATGGAGTGGTATCCCGCAAAAATGAAGGCAAATTTAAGCTTTTCGACTCCATTTAATTACTGAAGTTAATAAATGTAGGAATGCTTGCGCCGCCGCATACAGAAACCAAAACGCAAATATTCGGCCGGGAAAATTAGCAAAAGAGAATAGATCTTCGTTCTTTTCCAAGAATCTGTTGCATCAAAATTCAAATCCATTACTTAAGGTGATTCGTCAAGCTAAAAAGAAGTGGTCGAACTGGCATGCGATTTATTGCAACTTTTGGGTAAAAAATCTCGGCAGATTTTGAAGTTTTAGTAAAACAAAGGACGCTAGCCCCTGCGCAAGAGCGCAAAGAGTCATTCTAAATAAAAAATTGGTAAAATTCAGAGAAGAATAAAGTTTGAAAAAAAATCTCGCATTCGATTCAGCTATAAATTTCTGTACCGAGCGCGAGGTTTTTCCCCCCAAACACAATTCTGCTTTCATTTCTCTAAATTTTGCCGAGTTTTGGGTTTAGATTGGTTCTTTAGGCTTTTGTGCAGGAGCTATCGTTTTCTTTTTTTTTTTGCTAAAAATTAAAAATCTGCCGAGATTTCTTACCTAATCGATGCGATATATCGCATGCCAGTTAGACCACGTTACTTGAGCTTGACGAATCACCTTAAGAACGGCTGTAAACTTCTCGGATCGGATGAAACGTTGAACAAAATCCAACGGCCGAAAACATGCATCTTACGAAAAAAACTAAAAACCGAGCTCTATTATATTCTCAGCCAAGGAAACTGGCACAGAAGCATGACTCCATTTTTAAAAGCGGGCTTTTAACTTTTTCAGTTCGAGAAATGTAAAATATACATTGGCGAGAAAATACCCTTAGAAATGAAAAACTAGAAAATCCGAATCATATTCTTAGCAAGAGCCGAGAAGACTTGCGTGGAAGCATTAAAATTCGTCGTTCACATACTCCAATCGGAATTGCCGCAAACTTCACAATATCCGGAAAAACTACAGAAAATTCCGAGGATCAGTCTCATGGAGGGTATAGGTCACAATAAATCAATAGGAAACAAAAGAAAAGAGACAAGGTTTGCATTTCATTTGAATTTGGTTCTAAAGTGAACCAAATTTACTCACAGAAATAAGCCATGATTTAAACTAATCGCACAGAGCGGTCGGCCGGAAACGCATATTAGCGCTTACGAGACTGGGGAAATACTTCACGCATTGCGCATTCACCGCGGCATATTAGCGCCTACAAAATGCGCATTGCGCGTTCACTGTAGTCTGCGCTGTACGAGTAATCGTTGAAGTTTCGGGCTCCGTGATGTTCGCCGACAATCATGAGGCACAAATTACAAAAATGGGTCCAATATTTAGTGATAAGATGAGATGGTCCGATGGAGATGTTGCATGTGTGAGGAATTCGCGATTCGATTGTTGACTCTGATGTAAAAGTTCGCGAAAAACACGATGATGGTGCCACTGGTTTTCTCTAAATTCAACTCCCAAGCTCAAAAAAAGCTCTCAAGTTGAAGCCAAAATGGAGGGGATATCCCACGCTATCCTGAGAGCCCACCTCTACATCAAGACGAACTCTTCATGCAAAGATAGGGAGCAAATACATAGCAGTGATGCCGTGTTTTCAGTTTTAGAGTCCCCAAATAAAGTGGCTGCCCTGTCAATGTATTAGCTCCCTATCTTTGCATGGAGAGTCTGTCTTGATGTACTCGCAACCTCAGGTTGCGAGTGCTTCTCAGTCCGGTTCTCACTGGTTACGACAAAGAGTCACCCGAGAGCCGCGGTGCGGCGCTCAGCCAGCACGAGAGCTACAGTCGCGTACTGGCGCCTACAAACCCAACAGGAATACTTCACGCATTGCGCAATGCGTGAAGTATCCCTGTTAGGTTTGTAGGCGCCGCGGCAGTGCGCGTGTTGCGCTGTTCGCCCGCCGCGGGAAGGGCGTACCTCAATGGAGATGTTGCATGTGTGAGGAATTTGCGATTTGACTATTGATTCTTATGTAAAAGTTCGCGAGAAACACGATGGTCCCGCTGATTTTCTCTGAAATTAACTCCCGCAAGCTCAAAAACGCTCTCAAAGTTGAGGCTGTAATGGAGAGGATATCCCACGCTATCCTTAGAGTCCACGTCTACATCAAGACAAACTCGCCATGCCAAGTAGGGAGTATATACATTAGCATGGTTGCCGTGTTTTCAGTTTAAGAGTTCCCGAATAAAGTGGCAGCCCTGTGTATTTGCTCCAACGATTTGCTTCCTATCTTTGCATGGAGAGTCTGTCTTGATGTAGAGGTGAACTCTCAGGATAGCGTGGGATATCCCCTCCATTTTGGCCTCAACTTAAGAGCTATTTTTGAGCTTGAGAGTTGATTTCAGAGAAAATCAGTGGGACCATCGTGTTTCTCGCAAACTTTTACATAAGAATCAACAGTCAAATCGCAAATTCTTCACACATGCAACATCTCCATTGGATTACATTTTGCAATAAGGAACTACTATCTCCAGCTCCTCCATAAAAGCACCTCTCTGCCCAAGGAAACCAATGGCATATATGGATTGCATTTTGCAAAAAGGAACCGAGAGCAATCCAATGTTGCCAAGATTATGCAACTTACATTCTTTGCAAAATAATTACTGAGCTCATGCAAAAAATAAAATTTACAAAGGTAATTTTTGTCTTGAATTATAGTTTATTAGGAGCAAAAATAAAACTTGCTTAAATGATCAGTTTATATTTGCTTTTGTTAATATACTTCAGGAATAGTTTTGGTTGAAATCCTTTATACCTCAATTTTTTAAAAAGAACTGCATCAGTGCGCCTCATCCTCCAAACCCCTCCTCATAAAATGTTTCCCATTTGATGAAAATCTATTTATTGAGTGTATTCCGAGTAAGCGTTCAACTTCACGCTAATAACACTATTCCTTTTCTTTTATATTTTTTCTTTCTATATTCCTTCTCCCTTTTCTCTAATATTCTTCTTCTTCCTCATTTCTTTTTTCTTATTTTTCTTCCTCTTCTTCTCATCATTTTCATTACCTTACCTCGGGCAAAACTAATGCCTTTCTTGCGGGCGACCAGTTGAAACAATACCTTCAATTGACACATATTAGATTATCACTAATGTGTTTTTCTGGGTATTTCTCTCCAAACAATAGACTCTTATCCACCAGAGAAGCGTGCCCATTTTTCCTCCTACCGCGTCCGCTATACTGGTAGCTCGCGTTTTCATTCGTGTTGCATTGCTTCAAGTTTTCGCACTGGATTCGAAGATTTTTTGACGCTCCAGAGCTAAAATGAGTTATCCGGTTTATTTTCTTTTCTCGTGCAGCATAATTTATTCACTGGCACCAGCACAAGCAAATGTTTCTAAGGTACGCATTGTTTGAGATAAAAATAGGTATGATCCTCCACGCGGGTTTAAGAATCAGACCTAGTCCACAAAAACTCAAAATTGAGTAGGTAATGGATACCTGCGGACTGATTATTGAAACTTATAGACAAATCCAGAGACAAAGAAGACGTAGGGAGCATGGTGCTATCCTAATGGGTGAAATGGGTAGCTCATATAGACTGAGGGAGAAAATGATGGACTGAGCATAGTCTCGTGGGTTGCCTTAAGTTAGTATATTACCTACCTCTTTTGTCCATTGCAACCATCCGCTTCCATCAATAGGATCCCTCCATGTCCCTCATGTCTTCTTTGTCTATAGCTTTGTCCATCAATTTCAATAGTCACCCCGCAGACTACTCAGAGAAGTTCAGCGACTACGTTTCAGCGCTAAAAAAATCGAATCAGTGAGAGCGAAAACACACCAACTCGGTAACTCAAAAATGCTCAACATCATTGAAGACAGTCAATATTCCTGAAGGTCATTGAAGTTAGCGCATCTATTCCAATTTTGACCTTTAAAATGTCCTCAAGTATTTGTATTTCTGCACCAAAAATATTTTTCCTACACTAACTTCTGCGCCTACTGTGCAGTACTGTGTGCGTCTTGATAATTTCTATTTTTTCAAGTCGGTGTGTTTTCGTTCTCACTGATTCTCAATGATAAAGGCGTCACTGTCGGACAATCGAGAAGTCTTCCGTAAATGAAAATTTTGACGAAGTTTTTTATGTTACATTTTCATATGATTTTCAGGACTCAGAAAAACCGAGGACTATTGAAGTAGATAATGCGGCGAGAGTGTTTCGCAAAGATGGGGAGCCATTCAAATACGTGGCAGGGGAATTGCACTATTTCCGGATCCCTCGGGCTTACTGGAAAGATCGCCTCCGGAAATGCAGATATCTCGGCCTCAACGCTGTTTCCACGTAAGTTCAAATCTCCAACCGTTGGAAAATTGAACAGGTTTTTGGACGTAGGTATTTATATCAAAGAGAACTATATCCATTGTAAAGTGAGTCCTGACATACATGCATTCTTGTGAATCTAAAAAAAAATAAAAATAAACTGAAGTTATTAGGATGATCTTAAAATGTTAAAATTATCCTAATAACTTTACTTTTATGCTTTTAGTAATTTAAGCCACTAAAACAAACCAACACAGTCATTAAAATAATTATAGCTAATATTACGGTTTTTAAGTTAGTTTAGGTTACTGTAAAATGGCTTTTGTTCTACTAAACTGATACCATTTTCATAAAAGCTTTCATTTCTTTAAATACTATTCCCTTTTTCTGTTCTTTTTATTATCATAATTATGTGTTTTATAAATATTACTTTTTTTCGTAAGTTTACATTTTTTATAAATCATATATACATTGCTATAGGTATTTGCGTAATTTTATTATTTTTCTTAATTACGTTTAGATTTCTGACAGAACGGATTTAGTTCCTTTTGATTTAAATACGTTCTTTGACAAATATTTCAACAAGTTGCTCGACATCCAACAAGAAGGTAGGTCAACAGTTGACCCTGGTAAAAATTGGCGATAAGAGCTGCGTTTCGAAATACCATAGGAATTCTTATAGCCGGCTAAATAAGGCTATAGAAAATCATATAGCTGGCTGTAGAATGCGGAGAAATTCATACGGCCGGGCTATACGAAGCGATAAAAAATTATGCAGCCGGGCTATAGTTCCTATCGCCGGGCTTCACACTTTATCGCCTGGCTGTTGCTTTTTTGCCATCGATTATAAAAGGCTATAAGAAATTGTGTAGAAATTCGTGTGCTTTGGAAATCATTAAGTTTGATACGGAACCACCTTAATATTTACAAAACACGCATTATACAATCCTTTAATACATATTTTTTTTTTCATCAATTAAAACGAGAATAATCCATACAGGATGTGCAAACATTTCAAAGTCATGAGTTGAAAAACGCTGACTCCACGAGATTAAATATTAGAGCCTAACACAAAGCGGAGCGGCGGCGCACTGGCGCCTACAAACCTAACAGGGATACTTCACGCATTGCGCAACGCGTGAAGTATCCCTGTTAGGTTTGTAGGCGCCGTTTCGAGCTGGCTGCCTGCCTGCCACGCCGCAGCGTGTCACGACGCTTGAAGCAACTATTTCACACCAGAAGAGGTGTTGCACAGTATCATGCGAAACTGAAGGCGCTCTAATATATTAGGAATGGCAGGCATCCATCAAAAGTACGGAGCTTTCCTAGCAAAATAAATCAAGATACTACGGCCGCGGCCCCAAAAGAGAGCAGTAGTCCAAAAACTCACCAAGTCCTAGCATCCGTAATTAGTAACGTTTAGCATAACTTTATCGCCTGGCTGTTGCTTAATCGCCATCGGCTATAAAAGGCTATGAGGAATTGTGTAGTCGGCTATAGAAGCTACTGGAAATCTTACAGCCGGCTGTAAGATTGCCTTTATGAGCTATCGAAGCATATCATATGCAGTCTCTGCCTGGAGGTCTATGGTATTTTAGAACACAGATTCTACTGCCGATTTTTTCTAGGGGAGTGATGGAGCCCCGGAAGGAAAAGCTTCTAACAGTTCGTCGCACAGTGGATCGAGTCAATTAGAGAGGTCGGACACGAAATTTTTTACCAAAACCGCAAATTGTGATGTTTATTTCGTCACATATTAAATTTTAAGGGGAGCCTCCAGAAGATAATTCCACGAGGAAACCAATGAAACCACTTATAGAGCCTCAAAGTTTTGTATAAATGTAGTTTTAAGCTTTTAAAGTCTCCAAAGTTTGTCAGACTTCTCCTATCGAGTCGGTTCAGTGTACGCCGGCAAGTACGAAACTGCCAAAGACCAAGCTTCGCGAAAACGTACAAATACTTGATTTCTTCGACATTTCTCCGAACTATTCGAAAAAATCAACCGATGTGCTGTACACTATATCAACGGTGAGACTCCCTAACAACGTTTCTCGGTTTGCGACGTTGCGGCTTTCCTATCGTATTAATTATTTTTAAACGGGAAGCTATCTTACGTCAATTCTCGAAAACTTGCGGAGTTTTCTCCTCTGTGCGAAGAAAACTCTCTGATCAACGGAGAATTTGCATGCAAATTTTTTATTGCTTCATCTGGAAGTGCTTAAAGAGTTGATTTCGCACTTTCGTAGTATTTTTTATAATTTGTTTCTGATATGGGAATTAGTATAAAACTAGATTTAAAAGTGAGGAAATTCACCGCCTAGTGACGCCATCTGGCGGCATTTCCCATTTAAACACACGTATTTTAGCAGATTAGATCATTTTGTCATATCTTCTTCAATAATTGTTCAATTTATGAGCCAAGGGTATCCTCGTGTCCAGTTCACTCAGTAGTTTCCACTTAATTAGGAAATTCACCAAATGGACCTCGTTTAACAGAAGGGAACCAAGCCACATCAGCTTTTGCCAAATTTAACTCTGCAATTTAATTTTTTACGAGAGAACGTGTGTATGGATTCTTTTGAATATTTTGGGGAATTTGCTTCGTACTACGTAGAAAATCCACTGAAATTTGCACGAAAATCCGCACAACTGTTTTCTTGTAAAAAATTAAATTGCCCAATTAAATTTGGCAATAGCTGATGTGGCTTGGTTCCTCTCTGTTTAGCGCGGTCCAAATGTCAGACACCTGCAAATTCTCTATTCAAGAAGTAATATTGATTTATTCTACTTCAAAACAATAAAATGACAGCGGAGATTTTTAAGATGACAGTTACACGAAGAGGGTCGTAGAAGTTGGGCAAGAAATAGAGACTTTGAAATTTTGTGCGCTTTCTGCACGAAACCGCACAGTGTTGCCATTTTTAGGAGTGCTATAACACTCGGGTGGCATGCGTGTTTCATGAGAATATTGAAAGACATTTATGCCCCTACTCATGGTTTTTATTACGAGGAGGCACCCTGTGCTGGGAGGAGTGTCTCGGAACTTACCCCCTTCTTCCACTAAAGCAGATATTAACGTGTCAAAAAAAGATGATTGAAAAAAATATGGAAATCATGATTATTATTTTTAAGAGTCTCTTTTATTTCAAACCTCCAGGTATGTTGAATGGAGCTCACACGAGCCTCGATCAAATGAATTTGATTTCACCGGCGAAAACGACTTAGTTTCATTTATAAAATTAGCCCAAGAGGAAAATTTATTGGTTCTGCTTCGCCCTGGACCATACATTTGCGCTGAAAGAACTCTGGTAAGATAGTCATTTTTAACGAATCCACTTACATAGTCGCCAGATAGTGCTGAAAAAAAGCAGCATTTCCCTCATATTTAAATCCATGTAAATTATCCACATCTAATTACACAATCTGGCAACTTGGATCCCTTAACATGCTGAGGGAGAGAACAATATGTGAAAAAACATGCTTTTCAACCTGTAGAGCAAAGCGAGGAACTATCCAATGTCGACGGCGAAATTCCTAAACCATATAACTCATTTGCGGAGCTGAAAAATCTCCGCTCCCATTTCATTTTTTTGCAGGAGAACAAATCAACGTCATTGCAGAAGCGGATCCTGCAATTTGGCAACACCGGTTTCCCTCCATGTAAACCTATGTTAAATAATCGATTCTTATCGGAGCGCCGAGCCCCACCAAGAATCGATACATTTCCATGGGTTTTAGTGGAGGAAAAACGATGTTGCCAATTCGCTGGATCCGCCAATGCATCGTTCCTTTAAGTTTTCTCACAATGTGCACGGAGAAGAAAAATCACGAAAGTTTTTAAGAATTGAGGTTGAGTCGTTCTCCATTTAAACGATAAAGTATGACAGGAAGTCTGCAACGTTGCAAACCATAAGATACGTGGTTTGGGAGTTTCACCATCGATAAGCATCAGTGGCGTGGGCGTGGCGTGCTTTGCGATATATCGATACTCCCCCATTTGAAGCTATGGTAAAGAATCGATCATTAAGGTGTTCGCCGCGAACACCCTGTTTATCGATCCTTTTCCATAGGTTTAAATGGCAGATCAATCGATATACCGCAAATCACACCACGCCATTGATAAGCATTACACGGCTTCAAATGGGCGAGTAGCAATCTTCTACACTTTAAGCTCAGAGACCTCTTAAATTTGCATATCTGGTAACGCTTAGTTTCAGCGTTCTACCGGGCCAATTTTTATATTTGCGGCTATCGAAAGGCAATTGTCTCTAAATGAGCCCGCTTTATTCAGACCTCGAAAATATGACCAGGGTTTTTTTTACATTACGAATTCTCCCATATGAACAATGTAAATTTTCATTTTTTGTCATAGTTCGTTCGAGCGTTTTACTGGGCCGATTTAAATAATTTTTTCGGTTATCAACGGGCGATAGTCCCTACATGAGCCCGCTTTAATCAGATTTTGAAAGTATCACGTAGGTTTTTTTATATAAAAGTAGACCAGAAAGCTTACGACAGAGCATAGGGGAGAATTTCACGACCTACTTTTCATTATTACACTTCATCTAGCGTTGAGAGTTCACTTATTACTACACACGACCAGTGTGTAATTTTGAGAGTCGAAAATTAAAAAAAAAAAAAAAAAAAAAAAAAAAAAAAAAATTATACGATACACGAGTTTCTCCGCCAGGGAACTCTCTCCGCAAGAAATCGTACCCCACCCGCTCGCGCCTGCTGGGAGAGCCGCGGAGTGCTGCCAGCGCAAAACTCGCACTGACGCCTACAAACCTAAGTGGCTACTTCACGCATTGCGCAATGCTTGAAGTATCCCTCTAGGTTTGTAGGCGTCAGTGCGCGTTTCGAGCTAGCAGCACGCCGCACCGCAGCAGATGCACGACATGCACGACTTTGAAATTCTCATGAATTTATGTGTCCTCTCAGGGTGGTCTTCCTGCATGGATGTTGGCTAGGAATTCGGACATTCAGCTTCGCACCTCAGACCCTGGTGAGTGTTTAGTGTAGGGTCATTATCAGTAAAGGTCATACGAGTATGGCTTGTCAATAAAACGCCAATAACCCAAGTACCCAAGTAGTAGTTTTTTCTTACTTTTTACTAATGGCGCTACAGCCCGGGGTGGGCTGTACTCCTACTCTGTCCATGGTCTTTTCCTTCCATCCTATCACTTTCATAACTCTAAGATCTTTCTCTACCTCATCTTGCCATCTTAGTCCTGGCCTTCCTCTCTTTCTCTTCGATAGAACTTTGACTTTCATGATTCTCTTCGGCATTCCTTAGTACTTACTTCACCCAACTAGTAGTGATCGCGATAAATAGCGATTTTATCGGTTGGTTATCGCGATTATATAGGTGGCAATATTCGAGATATTATCGCATTAAAAATTGCGATATATGACGATTAAATCGCTACACATCGCAACGTTTGGTTCGATAAAATCGTGATCAATTTTCGTCGATAAAGGTGCGATTTTATAGCTCGACAATTTATCGCGATATTTTCGAAATAAGAATCGCGATAAATGGCGATTTAATCTCGATTTTATCGAAGAAAATTGATCACGATATTATCGAACCAAAAATTGCGATGTGTAGCGATTTAATCGCCACAAATCGCAATTTTTAATGCGATAATATCTCAATTTATTGCCACCGATTTAATCGCGATCACTGCTACTTGGGATACGCGGTCTGTGCGTTAAAAAAATAAGGGGGGAAAAAAACAAAAATTGCTGTTCTTTTAAGACTTCATTATTAAAGTGTTACCGTTTCAAAAAAAAAAAAAAAAAAAAAAAAAATACTCAAACTTTTCAAGAATGCAAGGTTTCAAATTTTTTAAGGGTGCATTCAAGATCGTTCTATATTTTAGGTAATAACTAATTTAAAAATTAAAACACTCAATTCGCGAGATTTGATCATATTCTCCGATGAATTCAAGTGTTATGAAAAAGGAAGTTACACGATCGGTAGCTTTTATTGAAATGTGTGGCTTCATTGATGAGATTGAGGCCCTTGAAAAGAGAGGATTGGCAATTTGCAATACAAACTAAACCTTCTCAAAAATTTTACTAATTTGTTGCCACCAATGCCACTTTGGGACACAATGAAAATAAAAAAAACAATCGATTCCGATCGTGATTTCAGGTAGGTATATTTCCTTAACAAAAACATTACGAACATTAAAAACTAAATTTTTCATTTACTTCAAACGGAAATGTCGAATACCGATGAGATTTTTCTCGATAAGCGATTTTGAAAAAGCGTAAACTTCGACTTCAATTCGAGGTGCCTCTTCTAGACTGTTTCGTTCTCTTTCTAAAAGAGCCTTCAAAAAAATGGACCTTTTTTTGTCTCTTTTCGAGGGACATTTTCACTCTAGCCCTATGTCTATAAATTTTCTATGTCCGGGACATAGAGAATTTATAGACATATAGGGCTAGAGTGAAAACTCATGATGATATTGTACAAGCCCCTCGTAAAAATTTGAGCTTCGGCGCAGGATGATTTTGGTGCTGCGGTATTGCAACTTGCAAGTTTTACATTTTTCAGCATATCAGAGGCGGATCCAGCAATTTGGCAACACCGAATTCCTCCATTTAAACCTATGCTAAATAATCTATTCTTGTCGGAGCACTGGCCTCTCCAAAAATCGATACATTTCTATAGGTTCAAATGGAGAAAGGGCAATGTTGCCAAATAGCTGGATCCGCCTCTGCCTATAAATGTCAGTAATCAGCCCGCTGGTTCCCGAAAAAATGAACAAATTTTTGGCAGACTCTCCATCTTAATGATTATATCTTGTACTTATTGAATGATTGATACTAGCTGTAATTTTCTTCCAAACAGCTTATCAGAGTTTCGTAGACAGATGGTTCCATATCCTATTCGAGAAAATTAAACCTTTACTCTACGGAAATGGAGGCCCTATCTTCATGGTCCAGGTACCTTCTGCTTAAACATTATGTACACTGAAAATTTAAAAGCGAGGGCATCATTTTATACCGATGCGTTCGATATTTTTTTTACTTCATACTTTTACCGAAAACTATCAATGAGCTCCGCTCACGCGGCAGTGGCGCGGCGCGAATTGCGATGTATCGATTGTTATGCCATTTTAACCTATGGTGAAGATTCGATTATTAGGGTGTTCGCTGCGAACAACCTGTTTATCGATCCTTTTCCATAGGGTTAAATGGCATAACAATCGATAAATCGCAAAGCACGCCTCGCCACTGCCCGAGAAATCATCGAAATAGAGTGGGCTTATGTATTGAGACTATGTCTTTATCGATAGCCGAAAGCGATTTTCCAAGCCATGAGAGGGGAAAAATATAAAAAATTAATGAAGTGTCCTCTGAATTACTGAAGAAATCAAGAATAATGATACTTTACATTAGAAAAGAAAACGTTTTCATTGGGAATGACTCACAAATAATAATATGCCCTTGATTATCGTGAACGGAGGTCGATAATAGTGGTACTTTAGGTTGAGAAAGAAAACAAGTAAGTCGCAGCAGAAAATTCGGCCTCGATGAACTCGGAAAACTAGCTAAATGGTCGCCAAGGTCGGCGAAAACTTGGCGAAATAATCGATTCTTGTCGGAGCACGGGACCCCTCCAAAAATCGATACATTTCCATTGCATTAAATGCAGGAAATCCGGTGTTGACAAATTGCTGGATCCGCCATAGGGCATGGAAAGTGAGGGTGAAGAGATACCTCTCTATGTAATGAGAGAGGACAGTGGATTGAATGGTGCGGTGGCGTTTGCGGACGTGGCGTTTGCGGATTCTAAGAATCGGGTGGCGTTTGCGGATTCTCATATTTTGACGGTGGCGATTGCGGACAGGCGGAACAGGGCCGGTGGCGATTGCGGACCAGAGAATTTCGGCGGTGGCGATTGCGGACGGAGGGGTAGGCACCTACATATGCTGCCCCCCACCCCTGCGCTGTATATTAAAGAGAAAAATTACCGGAGAGGCTCTTGATTCCTTTTCGTGGATGTAGAAAACATTAGTATTATATTAGTATGTATATTAAAGAGAAAAATTACCGGAGAGGTTCTGGATTCCTTTTCGTGGATGTAGAAAACATTAGTATTATATTAGTATAAAAACATATGAGAATTGAACGTACAGTAAATTTTTAAAAAAAGGCATATCAGAAATCGCAAGAAACTGAAAAATCGTCAGTTTCAGTCCATTTTAAGGATGAAAAACATGTTGTAAATTCTAATCCAAAATTACTGAAAGCTAAAAAATTACATACGAAAAATGGAAACATACATTTTAATTTTTTGACTTTCAGCAATTTTGGACTAGAATTTACAACATGTTTTTCATCCTAAAAATGGACTGAAACTGACGATTTTTCAGTTTCTTGCGATTTCTGATATGCCTTTTTTTAAAAATTTACTGTATGTTCACTGCTCATATGTTTTTATACTAATATAATACTAATGTTTAATACTAATATTTTTTTCATTCTACATCCACGAAAAGGAATCCAGAGCCTCTCCAGTAATTTTTCTCTTTAATATACAGCGCAGGGGTGGGGGGCAGCATATGTAGGTGCCTACCCCTCCGTCCGCAATCGCCACCGCCGAAATTCTCTGGTCCGCAAAGGCCACCGGCCCTGTTCCGCCTGTCCGCAATCGCCACCGTCAAAATATGAGAATCCGCAAACGCCACCCGATTCTTAGAATCCGCAAACGCCACGTCCGCAAACGCCACCGCACCGGATTGAATAGGTCAGAGCATAGGCCAGGTCATGGATCAAAAAGAGCTCTCAAAGTTGAGGGCGTGATGGAGGGGATATCCCACGCTATCCTGAGAGTTCACCTCTACATCAAGACAGACTCTCCATGCAGAGACGGGGAGCAAATACATTGACAGGGCTGCCACTTTATTTAGGAACTCTAAAACTGAAAACACGGCAATCCTGCCAATGTATTTGCTCCCTATCTTTGCATGGAGAGTTTGTCTTCATGTAGACGTGGGCCCTCAGGATAGCGTGGGATATCCCCTCCATTACAACCTCAACTTTGAGAGCGTTTTTTGAGCTTGCGGGATTTGATTTCAGAGAAAATCAGTGGCACCATCGTGTTTCTCGCGAACTTTTACATAAGAATCGATAGTCAAATCGCAAATTCCTCACACATCGACGATGAAACTACCAGACCACGTATCTCGTTTGCGGTGTTTAAAAATCTCCACTCATATTTTATTTTTTTGAAGGAGATCAAATCAATATCATTCCTTACAATTTTCACAGATTTTTCTCCGCACAAAGAGGAAAAATTACGGAAGTTTTCACGAATTGACGTTGAGTAGTTTTCTATTTAAAAAATAAAGAATGGCAGGAAGTCTGCGACGTCGCAAACCGAGATACGTGGTTTGGTAGTTTCACCGTCGACATGTAACATCTCCATTGAGATACGCCCTATCCTAACGGCGAAGGAGCAACGATGCGTTTGGAGACTTGAGCGCTGAGTAAGAAAAGTAAACAAATGCGTAAAAACATCGTTTGCAGTCTTCACAAGGCACATATGGCACTTGACACCGGGCGAATCCCTTATTCTATCTTTCCCTCTTTCAATCCCCGCCCAAAGCACCTCCTTTCCCCACTCCATTTGCCGTCCCGACCGTAACACAGTGCAAAAATATTGAACTAATTTTACAAATGAAGAATTTGCACGCAAATTTTTTATTTCCGCATCTGAACGTGCTCAAAGAGCTGATTTCACAGTATTTTCTATAATTTTTCTCTGATATGGGAGACGGTATCAAAAAAGATTTAAAAATGAAAAAATGCACCGCCTAGTGACGTCATCTGGCGGCATTTTCCATTTAAACACATGTATTTTAGCAAATTAGATCATTTCGTCATATCTTCTCGAATAATTGTTCCATTCATGAATCAAGGGTATCCTTGTATTCAGGTCACTCAGTAGTTTCCACTTAAACACGAAATTCATCAAATTTCAGACATCTGCAAATGCTGTAATAGAGAATTTGCATGTGTCTAAGATTTGATGAATTTGAAATGCAATAAGACTGCGATTAGACATTTTTAACGGATAAGTCGACTGTTTAATGCCTTCACATAAACCTCCAAAGGATTAATCTTACATAATGAAGAACTCACTCAAAAAATTTAAAGGTTCAGCGTTGCGTAGCATTTTGTTAAAACTCAATAGTCAAATCTCGGCAAATTCTGAATTTTTAGCCAAAAACAGGACGATAGCTCCTGCGCATGAGCCCTAAGAATCATTCAAAACCCAAAAATTGGCAATATTCAGAGAAATGAAAGCCGAATATTGTTCGGAAAGAAACCTCGCATTCGATACAGAAATCGATAGCTGAATCGAATGCGAGGTTTTCTCCAAACACTATTTTGCTTTCATTTCTCTGAATATTGCCATTTTTTGGGTTCTGAATGATTCTTTAGGCTCATGCACAGGCCGGGCTATCGTCCTTTTTTGGGCTAAATTGGACGTATTTCTGTCAAACGGAACTAAGCGCCATCGGAGGAGGAAGGTAGCGGGGGGCTTGGATTGGCGGCGGAATCGGGCGTCGCGGGCTCATTCCGTCCTATACTCGCAATGCTTTTCCATGGCGCTTAGTTCCGTTTGACAGGGCGCGCTATCCGGCATTCTAAATTCCTCAAAAGGAACTCAATTTGGCGCTTAGTTCCGTTTGACAGAAATACGTCCAATTCAAAATCTTCCGCGATTTTTGACCTAACCGATTCGATACATTGCATGCCAGTTCGACCATGTCACTAGCTTGACGAATCACCTTAAAAGTAATGCAACTGCACATCAACAACAGGTCGAGAACGAGTATGGGAATTATTTCCAATGTGACGAGGGTCATTACCGGTGGCTGACAGAGAAGATGACAAGTTATGTGGGTAGAAATGCTATCTTGTACACGACGGATCCAGGAAGTAACACTTACAAGTGCGCACCTCCTCCGGGCGTCCTGCCCACGATCGATTTTGGCGCTGGAGGTGAGTTCCTGACCCCCCATTCGTACACATAGGCGAATCCAAGTGCCCCCCCCNCCCCCCGTTTTATCGAAAAAAAAAAGAAACAGAAAAGGAGAGGACAGAAAGGACCACTAGACAAGGTACGAATTTCAGCATTTTGATACATGATTCATGACCAGAATTTCACGCAGAACACGATTCGTGCAACGAAAATTACTGAAACCAACTCCTAACGGAGATATTAACATTTTTATTTCACATTGGTTACGAAGAATTTGAACTGCCCACTCACAAGAAACTCAAAGCTCTGCGTGAGTTAAATCGCGCACTACAACGGTTTCAGAAAGTTTCTCAATCGAGCAATGTTCATTTCCCACCAAGTGTTGTTCAAACTATAAGCAATTTGCTTTAGTTGAGCTAAAGCGTCAAGATTGAGGTTGCCAGAGTTTTATATCGCAGAGACTGTCATGATAACGTTTAGCGAGCGATGTGAATCACGTAGAACATTGAGTTTTCATGAGTGGATGGTTTGAATTCACGCATCAAGAATCATTAAATATCTTCGTAAGGAGCTAATTGTGGTAATTTTCGTTGTGCGTGGCGTATTCTACGTGAAATTTTGGTTGCGAAACATGTATCAGAATGCTGAAATTCGTGCCTTGTCTAGTGGTCCATTTTGGTAATTGGACCGAGTTTATCAAAAAGGAACCAGCCCACATCAGGTTGAAACTGAGAAAAACAGATTTGAGGGATTATTCCTCCATGAGTCTCATTACAGAAAATATACTCTAACCCCTCTTTTCACAAACTTATTTATTTTTTCGACTTTGGGTTTTGGGTGGGAGAAAATATACGCCTAGAGGGACTGGAATTTTTTCGAAAATGAGGGTTGATTCCTTTCTGATAAACTCGGTCCAATTATTCACGACGAAATTGTCTCAAACTGTGTATCTATGGTGAAACTCCCAAACCACGTATCTCGATTTGCGATGTTGCAGACCTCCTGTCATACTTCATTTTTTGAAAGAAGCACTACTCAACGTCAATTCTTAAAAACGTCCGGAAATGTTCTTCCTTGTGCGATGTAAATTCTGAAAAAAAATTTCAAGGAATGATGTTGATTTTTCTTCCTTCAAAAAAAACAAAATGAGCAGAACTTTTAAAAAATCGCAAACGAGATGCGTGGTTTTGGAGTTCGATACAAGATGTATTAAAATTTCGAATATTTTTTGGGGAGGCAGCCTGGACCCCTCTCTGCCCCCTCAATTCAAATGTCTGGATCCTCCTGCGGTTGGACTGGATTCAATTAATTCAATGTAGATGTAAAATTATTACGTGGATCATTGAGTTGATCATTGAAACTGATAGACAATTCAATACCCTGGTGATAATTGGCAGTAGAATCTGTGTTCCAAAATACCATAGACCTACAGCCGGCTGTAAGATTTCCAATAGCTTCTATAGCCGGGAACACAATTTCTTATAACCTTTTATAGCCGATGGCAATTAAGCAACAGCCTGGCGATAAAGTTTATGCTAAACGTTACTAATTACGGGTGCTAGGGCTTAGTGAGTTTTTGGACTATGGCTCTCTTTTTGGGCCGCAGTATCTTGATTCATTTTTCGAGGAAAGCTCCGTAATTTTGAAGGATGCCTGCCATTCTTAATATGTTGGAGCGCCTTCAATTTCGTATGATACTGTACAATACCTCTGGTGTGAAATAGTTGCTTCAAGCGCCGTGGTACGCTGCAGCGCGGTGCGGCGGGCGGGCAGCCAGCGCGAAACGCGCATTGGCGCCTACAAACCTAACAGGGATACTTCACGCATTGCGCAATGCGTGAAGTATCCCTGTTAGGTTTGTAGGCGCCAGTGCGCCGCCGCTCCGCTTTGTGTTAGGCTCTAATATTTAATCTCGTGGAGTCAGCGTTTTTCAACTCATGACTTTGAAATGTTTGCACATCCTGTATGGATTATTCTAATTTTAATTGATGAAAAAAAAATATGTATTAAAGGAAAATATGATGTGTGTTTTGTAAATATTAAGGTGATTCCGTATCAAAATTAATGATTTCCAAAGCACACGAATTTCTACACAATTTCTTATAGCCTTTCATAATCGATGGCGAAAAAGCAACAGCCAGGTGATAAAGTGTAAAGCCCGACGATGGGAATTATAGCCCGGTTGTATAATTTTTATCGCTTCGTGTAGCCCGGCCGTGTAATTTTTTCCACTTTCTACAGCAAGCTATATGATTTTCTATCGCCTTCTTCAGTCGGCTATAAGAACTTCTACGGTATTTTGAAACGCAGCTCCTATCGCCAATTTTTACCAGGGTAGACCAAAAAAAAAAAGCAAAAACAAAAACAAACAAACAAACGAACAAACAATAAAAATACATGATGTGAGTAAAATGAGAATAAGCCGACCCTTAACAAAAAATCCTAAAAAATACTGCTAAATCAGCTCTTTAAGCGCTTTCAGATGAAGCAATAAACAATTTGTATGCAAATTCTCTATCGCATGGTCTGTTTTTTGATGTTTCAAAAGCTGTCTCGGCGCCTCCGTACAACTTTGCAGTTTATTTGGCTTCTATTCCAGTTTAGGAATCTACAGCCATCTATAGACATGAATTTAACGTAGAGGTTATTTTCCTTTATTGTCAGTAGACATCAGAGGGATGTTAGCATATTCATGCTCCGGCTTTCAGATTTTCAGGGATTAAGGCCGAGTAGAATCTGTTTCTGCAGATCCACTCGTCAGTTCCGTGAAAATTTGTCGCCACCACCGGTATTCGAACCCGGGACCTATTGGCCTAGAGTCAGGCGCGCTGACCACTAGGCCAACCTAGAGTCCCTTTATACTGAGAGTCAAGACAACACCCCTCATGGAGTCACAAACGGGAATAAAGATTACACAAATTGAACGTTTTTCGAATCTTTGATCGGCTCATTCTTAAATTCCTTTCTCCGTTCCTTCTCTCATTCCGTTTGTTCCTTGTCGAACCCGAAATTCCTCGGTCCATTCCAGATTACAATCTTTGCAATTGGTGAAAATGTAATCTTTATTCCCGTTTGTGACACTGTGAAGGCCTAAAATCCGGTTAACCAATCAGAAATAGATTCGCATTGTCTTGACTCTCAGTATAAAGGGACTCTAGGCAAACCTGCAGGCCGATTATTGAAACTGCTAGACAAAGCTATAGACAAAGACGACAAAAGGGATTTGGAGGGATCCTTTTGGTGGAAGCGGGTGGTGGCAATGGACATAGGAGGTAGGTAATGGACTAACTAACGGCAACCCACCAAAGACCCGACAGTTAATCCATCATTTTCTTCCTTAGTCTATGAGAACCAACCATGTCAACCAATAGGATCGCTCTATACTCCCTATGTCTTCTTTGTCTATCGCTTTGTCTATCAGTTTCAATAATCGGTCCGCTGGCCGGCAACCTTTAACCTTTCTGGCCAACTTTCCGCAGCTAACGTTGACGCTGTCTTCGATCAACTGAGCTACCGAAACAGAGGAGGACCCTCGGTCAACTCTGAGTTCTATTCCGGATGGTTGTCGCACTGGACGGGACCCCTCGAGGGGAGAGAAGCCGATGCAATCGTCGAAACTTTGACGGATATTCTCAATCGCAACGCCTCAGTCTGCCTTTACATGATCCACGGTGGAACTAATTTTGGCTTCACGTCAGGTTTGAACCCTCTAACAAACTTTTAATGGATGGCCACACTGAAAAAAAATTCTCGGCGTTTTTACCAAGGTCCGTTGGTACTTTTACCATTTCACTCTTTTTACCAATTATTGGTAGTTTTACCAGGACAGACTGGTAAACTTACCTAAAAACCGGTATTTTTACTGTTTTTTTCAGGTAAGAATACCACTTTTATTGGTAATCAATTCCCGGTAACTTTGCCATTTTATCTCGGTAATTCTACCACAGTCGATAAAAAATATCGGCGGTTTTACCAAGGTCCAGTAAAATTACCGAGAAAGTTCAACAATTTTACCGAGATTTCTCGGTAAAATTACCAATTCCATAAATGGCAATTTTACCAAGAAAAAACTGGGATCAAATAGAACCCCGAATTCTTGGTAATTTTACCCTTTTCTTAGTAAATACACCGAGATTTTTTTTTCAGTGCAGAGACAAGAGACCTCTTGATCTCTTGGCGACAGGTGGAAGCTTTTACTCTCGGGGATTCAACAATTCCACATGGACAATTGGATTACATTTTGCAATTAGGAACTATAAATTCCGGCTCAATTTAAAAACAACGTATGTGCCATTAGTTTCCCTATGCACATACGTGTTTTTTTCAGATGAGCTAGAATTTATAGCTCCAAATTGCAAAATGCAGTCCAATTGTAAGGGAGCAACACTGCCGTCCTGAGGAGAAACGCCTTATGAACATCCAAGAGTTGCCAAATTTCCCATCCGAAAATATTGATTTTTAAGACAAATAATGAATATTCCTACTTGAAATCTTCTGATACATTAGATCAAGTTGCGAGGAAAATTCTCTGAAAAATTGGACGGAAAATTTTCACAAGTTTTCCGGTTTTAAAAAGTTTAAAATTTTTATTTTATAGAAAGACATTTGGCAACGCACAAAGGTTCATACGACGTTTTTCTTGAGCACTGCAGAACAGTCATCGCCTTCATTTCGCGGCTGTTGACCTGCTTACATGGTGGATGATGAGCTTCGGGTGACGTCATGAGCCAAACAAGTTTCCCAAACTTCGGCTTGTTTGCAAAACGAAACTGCCAACAAGTTGTTGAACATTAACCTAGCGGGTAGGTCAACAGTAGAACGCTGAAGTCCCGAAAGTAAAAGCTACCACCATGGCCAAGATACAAATGGAGGGTCTCTTGTCTCTGTGGATGGTAAGGCATAGGCGGATCCAGGGGGAGGGGGGGTTGGCGTAGGGGGCGTGAATCCCCTCCCCCGTTCGCCCGAAAAAAGGAGGAGGAAATAGGGAGGAAAGAAAGATGGAGGGGACGGTGGAAAGATGAAGGAGGGGCGCTTGTATGGACACTGGAAAAAAAACTCCTCTTGTGGAAGTCGTGCTTACGGACTATATATACATACCGTCCGCGTTCCGAGCTCACAGGCCCAAAGTTCCGGGCGTATCACCCGGAGCGATCGAAGCTACGCTGCCTTGCTAAGGAAGAACGCCGTATGAGCCTTCAGACGTTGCCGAGTTTCCTTCGATAAAACCCGAATTTAGAGGGAAAATTGTGCATATTTTTTTCTTACATTTTCAAACAATTCTGCACGCAATTCAATCTAAAATCGTTGTCTCCCGAACGAAAGAACGTAACTCCATTCCAATGTTGCCAAATTTCCTCTCACAAATTGCCTATTAACCACGAGAATTTTGGGCATTTCTGACTGAAAATTTCCCTGATTTTTCTCTAGATTCCAAGCAAAAACAGAGATATTTTGGACACAAATTGCTTACGTACATTTTTGTAAAATAAATTAATTGTTTGAGTCAATTTGGCAACCTTGAAATAGAGTTACGTTCCTTCGTGTGGGAGACGACGAAATATCTGAAAATTTCAAGGACGAATATGCATAAATGTCGTCAAAAATACATGTTTTATCAAGTGAAATTTGGCAACTCTCGAATGTTCATACGACGTTCTCCCTTAGCACGGCAGTAAGGCTCTAGCATCCCGAACTTTCGGCCTCTGAGTCCAGCACCGACGGCACGTCTGCATAGTCCGTAACTCCTTTTTTTTCGGTGGACGTATTTCTCGAGGGAATAAGATGAGGTGTGTTCTAGAAAGCTGCAGATGGAACAATATGAAAGTGAGCGTGATGCCCTTCGGGGAAATGGAAAAGCGGGATTTTACATTCCACCGAACGGAACTATGTGCCAACTGAATGCGGCACTCGTGAGCCATGGGCATCAGACAAGAGCGTTGTGGACAGGGCTCATGAGTTAAAGAGCACTCCCGTGCCCGCGTTCTTCCCGTCGCGTCGCACAGTGGATCGAATCAATTAGAGAGGTCGGACAAGAAATTTTTGACTAAAACTGCAAATTTTGATGTTCATCTCGTCAGATATTAAATTTCAAGGGTTGTTTTTAGAAAAGAATTTCGCGAGGAAACCAATGCAGCCACTTTTAAAACCTCAAAGTTTGCATAAACGGAGTTATAAGCTTTTAAAGTTTCCGAATTTTGTCCGACCTCTCCTATTGACTCGACCCGCTGTGCGTCGTCGCGTCAGCATCGCCGCCTACGTCACTGGCGCTTTATGATTCCCATTCATTCTTATGACTCTCGACGGAAGAGCACACCCCTTTTAGTTCGCTGTTCCTTATGTCTCTGGTTCTGTTTGGTAGAAATACGTCCATATTTGATAATTATTCATGACGAAATCGACTCGATTTGCATATTAGATGCTTTAAAATTTCGAAAATTTTCAGAGGGCCGGAGCTCCTGGTCTCCTTTCCTGGCCGTACCAGTGGCGTGGCGTGCTTTTCGATTTATCGATATTTCCCCAATGGAAGCTGTGGTAAATAATCGATTCTTAAGGTGTTCGCTGCGAACACCCTGTTCATCGATACTTTTCCATAGGTTTAAATGGCAGATCAATCTCTATATCGCGAAGCATGCCACGCCACTGCCCCGC